TGACTGCCTCCTTGCTGGTGCGTGCCTGGGTGTGGGCTTTGTGTCTACATGGAGGTACAGAGGAGCAGTCTCTCACTCTTGGCGTCTTGCAGTTCCTTCTCTGAAGACTTCAGCTGCTCGTCTGCGTCTTTCTGGAAGGACAGCAGGGGGACACAGTGAGATGCAGGGACACACCTCATTTACTCTGAGCACCTACAGTCGCCACACTGCAAAATGGTCTTGGCACAAAAGCCACTTCTTTACACAGAGATATCTGCAGCAGCCTGCCCGGCTAACAAGGTAGCACTGGATCTCATTATCACAAAAGCTACAGGGGCTGAAAGGAGGGATTTACTCTAGAGTCCGACCTCTAAAATGCAGTAAAGCCCAGTGAGATCAGGGTAAAAGCACAGTACAGGGCAGTACAGCCCAGTGAGATCAGGGTATAAAAGCACAGTACAGAGCAGTACAGCCCAGTGAGATCAGGGTAAAAGCACAGTACAGTGCAGTACATCCCAGTGAGATCAGGGTAAAAGCACAGTACAGTGGAGTAAAGCTCAGTGAGATCAGGGTAAAAGCACAGTATAGTGCAGTACAGCCCAGTGAGATCATATCTGTTCCCCCCTCATCTCTGCTCTCACCTGCTCCTGCTGGCAGGTCCCTGTCTGCCTGCGTCTCTCCTCCAGCTCCTTCTCCCAGGTGGACACCTGGCTCTCCAGCTCCTTCAGGCTCCTCTGCATCCTGTTCTTTCTCTCGGTGGCCGTGCTCAGCTCCCGCAGCACCTCCTGGGAGAACTCCTGGCTCATCTGGAGCTCGTCCTGCAGCTGCAGCACCCTGCTGCGGAGCCCGCCGGCCTGCGTGCGCCGGAAATACAGCGTCCCCAGCAGGATGCAGCAGGACAGCGCGCAGGCCATCACAATGCCCACCCCCAGCTTCATCGTGGCCACTTCTGTCACACTGAACCCGCTCTGACTCGGAGAGATCCCCTCGCGTCTCTCTCTCCCCCCCAACCCCCCCCCGCCTGACTCAGATCCCTCTCTTCCCACTCTCCTCTTCCCTCTCCTGATTTCTTCCGGGGTCTGAGATCCCACAGCTCGACTGAAAAAAACGAGGGAGATGGAGGCAGAAGCTACAGCCGCGCGGGACCCCAATCTTGAGCGTCTCCTCCTGCGCAGGCGGGTGAGGAGCTGGACTGGCAGCGTAGCCTTCTCGTCTCGCAGGATCCTGCTCCTCACCTGAGACAGGGGGGCAGGGGAGGGGGCGTGTAGCTGCTCGCCCTGCCCCGCCCACCACCACTCTCCCGGCCCCTCCCCCTCTTTCTGCTTCCTGGTAGCCGGGAGCAACAGGTTCTACCGGAGCGACGGCCCCTGAAAACAGGACAGCGGCAAACTGGAAAAACCCAGCGTGTTGTATTCCTTAATCAAACCCTGCCCCCTACGCCACTGCCACACCCCCAGGTACCCCTGCCCAGGGTAAGAGCACAGTACAGTGCAGTAAAGCTCAGTGAGATCTGGGTAAAAGAACAGTACAGTGCAGTAAAACCCAGTGAGATCAGGGTAAAAGCACAGTACAGTGCAGTACAGCCCAGTGAGATCAGGGTAAGAGCACAGTACGGTGCAGTACAGCCCAGTGAGATCAGGGTAAAAGCACAGTACAGTGCAGTACAGCCCAGTGCGATCAGGGTAAAAGCACAGTACAGTGCAGTACAG